GCCCGACAACATCTCCCACTACCCCCACCACACGTCAGGGTCTGCCAGGTCCGACTGGCATCCTCCCCAATCCTACATGAAAACACTGGGACTCTCAATGTGAAGGGTATTTATTAATCAGTAAGGCACAAACAGTACATCAGCAACATGATGCTGACATTAAAACATGTGGAACAGTGAGGACATGTTCATGGCTCGTCAGTTCTGGACAGTAGTGTAGCAGAGGAATAGGGCTGGTGTACAGTCAGTGCAWCCTTACAGGTGAATACAAATAAAGCTATCACATTAAATCTTTTAAAAAGCTGTAAGGTTTGTATAACCTCACCATGCATCACTCAGTATTTGATATCCTTACCAAAAATGTGAGATTATTAAAGACACGTTCGTTCTCTTACCAAAAAATATACACTTTTGATCAACACTAAGTCACAACACAATACTCTGGTGATCTGTTGAGCAAATGAAACTTCTTCAGGGACCTGTGAAAATCTGGACAGGTACAGATCTAAATATTGTTTCTGTTCAACGAGATGACTTATAAATCTTTGGTTGCAGAGTACACACACACAGTGTCGTACTAAAGTSTACACAGCTACCTACACCTGCTTGATTTTTGTGCAAAAAGGTTACAGGTCAAAAACCAACCAAGGATTCAGACACATTTTTCATAAAACTTAAAATTAGTAACAGTCTATTACAGCTTTTGTGCAGAGGATTAAGGCCACTTCAGTTTTATTCAATGCATCTGTTTGTCACAGCAAAAACAAAACAACACGCCTGTTTGGCTACACCCGGAGTGCAGTTATTTACCAAAAACGCACCACATGCATTCGGAGTTCATAACCACGCTCTCACAGTCAGGAAAGCAAGGGACGATTAAAAGTGTGCTGAGAGAAAACTGAGAATGTGTCCTGTTTTAAATACGTCTCAGAAGCTTTAATTCACCCTTTCATGTTTCATGAGAACACTTCTCTTCCAGTTCAGTCCAGGAATCCCTCCGAGGACAAGACAGTCTTTAGTCTCAGTGACAGTTTTGACATTTAGGATGGCATTTCTGATTGTTGACGTTGCATCGACATCCTCCGCTGGTGTCTCCAGGACCCTTTGAAAACAACAGGAAAAAAAAGGTGATCACATTTGAAGAAGAGTTAAAAAGTCGCCCCTAATTTACACTAGATGTGGTTCTGCTGTGGTGCACAGTTTGATTTGCACCCCAATTTATACAGTGTCCACTCCACTCCACTCCGAAGCATAGAGGAGGTTCGAGAAGCGTATGCAGGAAATCTGCATCTGCTGAATGTGGACTCCAAACACAGTTGAATGAAACTGCATCGCTGTTTGAAACTTCTGATTTCAAAATAAAACCCACGTGCATCTATACGCTGCACGCTACACRTTGCCATCTGCTTCTCAAACAGAGCGATACATTTTATTTGAAGGCACCTTTCATGGCAAATTCATTCARTTCAAATGTGGAACTGCATCTAGTGTAAATCAGGGGTGAAGAAGGAGGGATGCGACTTGGAGAAAGACTTCTTACCTTCGGCCCCCAGCGAGGCCCTCTGGTAACCCAGCAGATCTCAGTGTGACAGACGGTGCAGCGCAGCCAATCACATCCATCCCTCTTCTGCATAATGATACCACACTGTGGACAGTGTATGGCCTCCCCTGACCGTAAAAGAGTCTGTTTGAGAGGGACGGAGAGCAGAAATGTGGTCAACAACACCAGCAGCTGCACATGGGTCATTTCCCTCTTAGTTTATTCTCTTTTTTAATAAAAATCTGAGTGATCCCAGAAACTGCTCATGGTTTGAAAGAGTTTTTTTTTTAATTTGCACATATTATTTTTAAACCAACCTTCAGTAGATGTGTCGTCCTCCTGGCAGCAGAGTCATTTATAGCACGTGCTGCAAGATCATCCTGATACTGTTTGCAATTCATTCCTTCATGGATAGCCTGTGGAGAGAAGATGCAACAATCAGAGTCAAATGTTGATGCAAAAAAAAAGCTAATACTGTAAGTATGGATCACTTGGGTTGTTACCGACATCTGGTGAAAATTTCATGTCATTAGCACCTCTAGTAATATATTTACTGAGAAAAATGGTGACGTGTTCAATACTTATCATCATTCTTTAGAATGCCAATTTTGTTATTCTTTTCAGCAAGATCATCATCAAACAGTCTCACAGTTTAATATCATAGCTCCGAGCTCATTTTTTATATATAGAGCTACCTCTTATCAGAGACACACTTTAATCATGCGGTGCTGAGCATTCCATCTCCAGCATTCTAGCACTGGGCATAAAAAAAATTGCATTAAAAATGGAATAATAACCAATAAAAACTAGCAAATCCACTGTAAAAACTAATGAAAACTAACTGCAATAAAAGAAAAAAAAGGCACAACAAATTAAACTAAACTATAATGAAAAATCCAAAACTATTATAATTTTGGTCGACACTGGTTTCAAAAACACACCATTTTACTTCAGCAAAACAGGATCTTATGGCTTCAGTTTCCCAGTGAGAAATCTTATCTTATCTATCGATATGTACAAGTTTAAGACAAGAAGACAAGAATTTCCAACCTTGCAAATGAGGCAGTTGTGTTTCCTACAGACAGGGCAGTGGAAGACGTTGACTGTATCCTCGTACACACACCATCCCACGCAGTCGGGAGTTGCACAATGATAGCTGCCCTCGCACCGAGACTCCGCCACYGACAGGCCTCTCTGCAGCCACCGCTCGTACTCCTCGGCTGGCACCAGCTGTGAAAAATAAATAAATAAATAAATAAAAAAAGGGCGAGTTGGAGTGTTTAAGTCAGCCGATACACAGATCTTCTCTTCAAACTTAAGGTGTAACTCACAGCTCGAATCTCCCTCTCCTGCAGAGCGCCAGCGCAGGAGTAGGTGTCATCTCTGTAGGGACAGGACACCTCGGGCTCCTCGCTCAGCATGATGACGGAGCGTAAGCACTCCCTAAGCATCAACAAGTGAACATAAAAATCGTCAGAATCCTACACTTCATATTAAGACAAATCTTTTCATTTTTACTACACCTCACCTGCAGAAGCAGTGCAGACACTCCCTCAGCAGGACCCCCTCTCCTGGTGGTAGATCCATGTAGCAAATCCTGCAGTCCACGGGATCAGGGTTGGGCACCAGGTCCTGACCGTCCAGSCTCACAAGACGGGCAAAATTCTCCATTCTCTCCTCCTCCTTTGCCTAAAGGACGGAGACCGAGACTGAAATCACCCTGGAAATTATGCCTCTCCTGCMTTTTTATAATACAAAGTTATTAATGATCCCTCAACGAATGTTTGATCAAAGGAATTTCTGAGGTTTATCCATGGTCGAGTCATGGAGGCAACAGGCTTTAGTAAGGGAGCCTGGACACCCCTCTTTCTCAACAACAAATCCCAAGCCCAGACCAGAGAGAATGCATAATCCCYCCGGAGAGTTCTAGATCTGCTCTGGGGTCTTCTTCATGTGAGATGTGCCAGAAAACCTCCATAAACCGGCATCCTAATCAAACCACCTCAACTCATTCCATTTAACGCAGAGGAGCAGCCGTTCTACTCCGACTTTCCYCATCTCATGTCTAAAGCTCAGCCCAGCCACCCTGCAGAGGAAGACTATTTTACAGAGGGTATGTAAAGTAACTAAGTACAAATACTTTGTATACAAGCTCCTCTCTTGTGGAACCAACTTCCAGTTTGTCAGTGAGGCTGACACTCTGTCTACTTTTAAGATTAGACTGAAGGCTTTCCTTTTTGATAAATCCTATAGACTTCGGTTTCCTGAGTTATTCCTTAGTTATTATAGTTAATTAGTTACTGTGTGCTTCTATATGCTGTGTATGCACCTTATCTTTCTGGTTATACCACCTCTACCTAGATCTTGATCTGGATTCTACCTCACTCTATTTCTACTTTATTTAATTTTTATTATTATATTTTTTCTGTTCTGTTTTTATATGCCTAACATATTTTCCTTTGTTTAATTTAGCATTTAGAACTTTACATTTCTTCATAGTTTATCAAGCTGTTTATGTTGTGTGCTAATATGGATCGTAATTTCATTCTACAGTAGGGATGCACCGATATGAAAATTTAAGCCGATATCGATATCCGATATACACTCACCGGCCACTTTATTAGGTACACCACGCTAGTAACGGGTTGGACCCCCTTTTGCCTTCAGAACTGCCTCAATTCTTCGTGGCA